TTTCTCTTGTTACTTTTAGTCTTTCTCTCTCTCTCTCTCTCTCTCTCTCTCTCTCTCTCTCTCTCTCTCTCTCTCTCTCTCTCTCTCTCTCTCTCTCTCTCTCTCTCTCTCTCTCTCTCTCTCTCTCTCTCTCTCTCTCTCTCTCTCTCTCTCAAAATATCTTTCTAAATATATATCAATCTGCTACAGTATAGTATAACACACACACATATACACACACACACATATAACACACATCACACACACATACACAACACACACACACACACACACACACACACCACACACACAACACACACACACACCACACACACACACACACACACACACACACACACATATATACTATATTATATATGTATATATATATATATATAGTATATAATATATATATATATATACATATATACATATATAATATATATACATAGATATATTATATATATATATATATATATATATATATATATATATATATATATATATATTATATATATACATATATATATATATATATATGGGGTAATATATATATATATATTATATATATATATATATATATATAATAATTATATATAATAATATATATATATAATATATTATATATATTTTTATATATATTTTTTTTCTTATTCATTTCTTATTTATTATTATTCATTATTATTATTATATTATCATTATATATCATTATTATTATTATCATTATTTATGTAATCATCATTATTGTCAGGTTTGTGTGTGTGTTATGACTGTGTGGTGTGAGGTGTACGTGTTTTTATAATTATACTGTTTATCTATACCGAAATGATATATATGATGTGTGTGTGTGTGTGTGGGTGTTGTGTGTGTGTGTGAGATGTGTGATTGTGTGTGTGTGTGTGTGTGTGTGTGTGTGTGTGGATAAACATGTTTAATTAGTTTTTAAATTCTAGTACATTGAAACCAGGTGAATTACGAAGCACCAGCCATTTGTTTGTCACTCGATAAAGGTAACTTTATACTGATAAAGATGATTAGGCAAAAGTGATATATTTGTTTCTGTTATTTTTACTGGATCGTTCATTTGAGAGGGCTTTCATGCTTATTACTGGTATTATTATATTCATTATTATTTTCATTATCGTTATTTTCGTAATAATGATGATTATCATTCTTATTCTTATTATTATTCATTTCTTATATTATTTCATTATTATTATTATTATTATTATTATTATTATATTATTATTCATTCATTATTATTATTATTATTATTATCATTTATTATTATCGTTGTCATCATAATTATATCGTTATTACTAGTATCATTATTGTGATAATTGTAATCACTATCCTTATCCTTATAAATATCAATACTACTATCGTTATCAACCACTATTGATTATTAGTTATGATCATAATTCACCTTATTATACTAATTATTACAATTACCATCATAATCCTTTTCATTCTTATTCTTTTTATTATCATTGTTATGATTACCATTATTAATTAATATTATTATCATTATTTCCATTATCATCATCATTATCATTATTGTCATTTGCATCATCATTATCACTATTATAATTATAATTTTTTTTTTTCTATTACTGTTATTAATACTTTTCTATATTATTACCATTGTTATTACCCATATCATTATCGTGATCAATATTGTTATTATTGTTATCATTACTATTGTTATTATCATTGCCATCATATTCGTTGCTACAAGCATTATAATATAAATATCATCGTAGGTCTTATCACCATCATTACCATATTTACTTTTAAAGTTATTTTTATCCTTACTGCAATTAAAATCACTAATGCTGTATTATGCTTGTTACTCTTATCATTTTCATTATTATTCATTACTATCAGTATCAGCATTATCCGCAATAGTATTTGTGTTATCATTATTATTATTATCATCATTTTTATGGTTATTATTTTTTTCGTTGCTGTTGTTGCTTGTTGTTGTTCTTATTATCCTTGTCACCATAACTACTGTAGTACGATCATCATTGCCATTAAACCCATTATTATGTGATATAATCATATTTGTTTTATAAGCATATTAATAACAGTACATGTTTGTTCTTCCACCGTAAAGCTATGCAATATATATTTTATATTATACACCTTCATTCATTTTATCTTCGCTGTCTCTTAGTTCCCTTACATTTTCCAGTAAGATATAACCCAAATTCCTCATGTTTATAGTCTATCTTCATCCCGAAAGATTAACTGATAAGATTCACTTCAGACGGCGTTAAGAAGACATGAGGTAATGGTGATATGTACCCGTGGTTACTGATAACATTCCTTATCAGTGGAAATCTCTCCTTGCTGTTGTCTCTGTGGTGTAAGGTTCTCGAAAAATGATAACAGGTGTGAAGGCTTCTGTCCGAGGTTGCGTGCTTATCTGTTGTGTGAGCGCAGGTACTGGTAAATGAATTGTGGAATTGTGTGTGTGTGTGCGTGTGTGCGTGTGTGTGTGTGCGTGTGTGTGTGTGTGTGTGTGTGTGTGTGTGTGTGTGTGTGTGTGTGTGTGTGTTGTGTGTGTGTGTGTGTGTGTGTGTGTGGTGTGTGTGTGTGTGTGTGTGTGTGTGAGAGAGAGAGAGAGAGAGAGAGAGAGAGAGAGAGAGAGAGAGAGAGAGAGAGAGAGAGAGAGAGAGAGAGAGAGAGAGAGAGAGAGAGAGAGAGAGAGAGAGAGAGAGAGAGAGAGAGAGAGAGAGAGAGAGAGAGAGAAAGTTTCAGAAAATAAATAAAGTATGGAGAGAGTGAATTGAAGGAACGAATGAGTGAGTGCTTCTGTATTTCCTCTCATGCTTTTACTTTTGACTCCTTCACTTCTTCCCTTAACCCCCACCAAAAAAACAACAACAACAATAATAATAATAATAATAATAATAATAATAATGATAATAATAATAATAATAAAATGAAGGATATGTAGCCTGCCATTCCATGATTTGCAAGAAATAAGGCAAAAGGGAATCCCTGCCAAAGCCAAACCACATCCACGATTTTCTCTTTGTTATCCGAAATTCCTCACAGCAATCATACCAATTCCTTTCGCTGCAAAAGAGGAAATGATTCGGAAATGTGAGTCCTTTTCCTTCCCTTTTATGAAATTTATCCTTTGGGAGATCTCGAGGCTTCGTGGAGGTTTCATAGTGGATTCCTTCACTGTATTAAACTGTACGAGTAATGGATGAATAATTCTATAGCGTAAGTATGTATATGTCATCATAACTTCGATGTTAAAAAACCTAAGTTCTGGAACCAATTTCGAAAAGTCTGATGTCAAATATCATTTACGATGATCTTCGTGTAGAATTGTTAATTAATTTTTTCGATGTTTGTTACAGTGAAAAGATAATAACAGAAAGGAAAAAAAAAGGTGATTTCATAGCTTTCATTCTTTCGTTTCTCTTCTGTATTAATTAACAGTCTTTCGTATTCCAACTTTATTCTTTATGTCTATCCCTTAATCTCTTTCTTTCTCACTCTCTCTCTCTCTCTCTCTCTCTCTCTCTCTCTCTCTCTCTCTCTCTCTCTCTCTCTCTCTCTCTCTCTCTCTCTCTCTCTCTCTCTCTCTCTCTCTATCTATCTCTCTCCTCTCCCCTCTCTCTCTCTCTCTTTCTCTCTCCTTCTCTCCCTCTCTCCCTCTCTTCCTCTCTTCCCTCTTCCTTCTCTCCCTCCTCCTCTCTCTCCTCTCTCTCCTCGCTCTGCTCTCTCTCTTTTTCTCTCACTTTCTCTCTCTCCCTTCTCTCTCTCACACACATTACTAACACGTTACATACACGTTTTTAACACCTAGCCCTCCGTCATCGTCGTATTATCAGGTGAATGAATTAAGTACTTGACAGCTTAGTGCCGATAGTGATAGGAACACAGGCCGGGAGCGAGTCATAGGATATCTTGGGCCTATTCCATACTAGGCTTATATATCATTAGGATAATAGGATAAAGGGAGGTTCTGGAATGTCGGTGAGTGTTAAGGTGGGGTAAGTCTATCTGAGATGGGATTAATAATGCTTATCAATGAATTAACAGTTGGTATGTTAGGCTTGTAGAAACGAGTGTTTTAGACTATCGAGATTCAGATTCAGATTCAAATTCAAAACGTTTATTTAGCCAAAAAGATATTACATATTGTTTAAAGTGAACAGAGTTACATTGTATTGGCTGAGCCTTTGAGAGGATATTTTATGTGGATGGTTAGGATATTAGGATATGTTAAGATATTAGGGCATTTAGTCAGAATATTGAGGTGCTTTTAAGCGAAGAAGACACAGACTTTTATGTTACAAAAAGGAGAATGTGATAATCAGAATTATCATAAAGAATGTGCAGGAAATTGATAAGGCTTATATAAACGCTAGAATATTATTGCGTTTCGTAAACAATTGCAGAGATTGTTCAAGATGACATTTATTTTCCTTTTATTTCCTTTTTTCTTTAAATTGATGTTGGTAAAAGGTGTAAAATATGAATGAAGAATATATTTCATTGTTATAGGCATTAATATACATATTTAAAGGGTTGTATGTTAAATACTCCTATTGAATATAAAGAATTTATTTTCTTGTTAAATAACATAATGCAAAGAGAGCTTTATATAATTTCTAAACATAAAAAAATGGGGCTGTAGATGGTTAAATCTGGGTTATAAAAGCGGAAATTGGTTTGTTTGAACAGCGGGTAAATTATGAACATTAGCACATCAAAACAGTAAAAATTGGGTTTTAGTGAAAGGGTGTTTGAAACAGGCCATAACAGTGAAGTGTAATGTAAATTTATGCTCACATCCTACAGCATTCGTTCATTATTTGTGCGAAACGATTCTTATCTTAATTTTCTTCGATCCCTCGCTTGTGATGGTTGTCAGAAAATATAAAAAGAAAGAATTGATAAGAAAAGAAACATGGAGCAAAGGACACAGCCGACATGGCCGAGGCCTTCGGGGTCCCTCGCCCCCTCCGGCCTCCGGCGGCGGCGCGACCTAC